ATATATATAGGCTTATATATTTCTCATACGCTGGGGAAAGAGATGGCAAATCCACTTCCCCCATGATTGTGTACAATGCCCACTAGAACTATATGTACAATGCCCACTACAACTTTCAATGCCCAGCACATCTACCTCCTCGGAGGTAGAGCACTGAAGCATTGATTTCTCTCCCCGGGCGGAAAAGACCGCAGCGCGGGCTTCCGAGACCTAAGAGAGAGCACTGGATCCCTCGTGGAAAGAGAGGAGATAAGATCCGCGGACCCGTCTCCAACCCTGTAAAGAGATCCTATTCGCGATCCACAGGAATGCATTCTCCGCGCTGCCTCGGCAGACGCGGGTCCTGCACCCTGAGGATCGCGAGCCTGGCCACTTTCCTAGAAAAGTGACAGGCGGGAGTGGAGCATGCGAAGCGAAAGCCCCCTCGGAGGCTGATACCGCATGCTCCACTCCCAAACAAACTACACAAAGCTCGTGTGTGTCCCCACCCGTAAAATAACGCGGGCAGGGAGAAGCACAGAGTTTGTAAAGTTGTTTCGCCATAACTCTTCCCAATAATATCGAACAGACAACAATAAATAGACAGAGACAGAGTAACACAGATCGCTTGCTGAGAAACAGAAGCTAATGCCGCGTTTCACCGGATGTGCTCTTATGCCTTCCTGGTCATGACGTCACCCGCCCGTGACGCTCATTCTTTCCATTGGACTAGTTGACATTGATGCTCAGACGCATTCACGCTGGGGGCGTTCCCAAAGCGTCGATGACGCATCGCGAGTTCCCTCGAAAGGGAACTACAGTAACCATAATGCACTTACTCCTGATTTCTCTCAACATGGGGACAGGAGAGCTCTCAGTCAATAAATGGGAAAACAAAGTAACTTGCTTTACTTATTTGAAAAAGTAACTTTATAAGTAATGCGTTACTTTACTCTTTACTTGGAAAAAGTAATCTGATAACATAACTAGCTTTTCTTGTAATGCATTACCCCCAACACTGGTTATTCTACATGCATGTTGTCTGAAGCATTCTCCATCTCCAAGTCAGGAGGAAAGTGTGTCAGTGCATTACAAATGTGTGTTTCTTTTATTAAAAGGGTCAGAATCCGTTCCAGCTAGCCAAGAAGTAATCCAGCGGTGAGATTCACGTGATTTCCTTTATAAGCAACACAAAAGCTTGAAGAGGTTTTGGACGATCTTTGAGTTTGGGCTGCTCTTTGGCGGCTGTGTAACCGTCCTGTAGTTCTGGAAGGCCCCAGAGGGCGGCAGATATGAACAGACTAAAACTGACTGAACTACAGAAAAGACGATAATTCAGAAGTAGCCTGTCATTTCTCCAAGTTTTACACTCTTTTCTTTCTCTTTTATATTATTCACTATGTGAAAGAAACATTTTAGCACATTTTGTTCCTTTTTAATGAAAATGTTGTGTACAATTATTAATGTTTGTGAGCAGAGGATTCAGCGCAGCTCATTGAACAAGCAGATGTGGTGTTATTGTGTTTCCAGACAAACCAAAGAAAGAAAAATCTTTGATGATTCCTTATTCAAACTATCACTGCCTTCTGTTGAGAGTTGTCGGTAGAATGTAACCTCACACTTCACTCATACACATTTACACTATGCGTTTTATTTAACATGTATGTACATAACGGTTGCGCTTGTAGGCCTACAGCATAGTGATCAACCTTTAAAAATGAGAATAAAATCACTTATACAGCTAAAACCAAAAAGTGAGCATGAAGGACTATCACTGTAACTGAAATGCTGTGTACCAACTTTCACCATAAACCTCCTAAAAGGTATTCAGCAAAAACAGTATTTAAACATTTTTTTAAAAGCTAGTTGCAACAAGGGCATTTGATGGTGTTGCAACATGCATGTACATTTCACTGCTGTAAACATAAATGTCAATGCTAACTTGATCTGTATATTTTGCAAACTCTTTGAAATTAAAATAACTGAGGTCAGTTTGTTGGGGTACTTGTACAGAACGGCTGTAATTTTAAGAATGTACCAGGCAGCTAAAGCAAAAACAAAATTAACCAGCAGTGACGCATTGGCCGTTTAATTTATTGTTGATTCACAACATATGTGACCGATCGGATAAACTATTTGTTTATATGAAGTTTTATGGCTGCGAATAATTAGAGTAAACATCTTTATCTATTTTTGGTTGTCCAGTAAATGCAAGTTATTGTTATCAAATTCACAGAATATGGAGTTCTGCTAGGGATGACAATATCACTGCAATCATAGTGGGGTTTGTAAGGGAAAATGTCCTTACAATAATTATGACCTAGATTTTAAAAAAGGAAAATAAGATGTGGTAGCTATTTTTAAAGTAAATGCAAGCATTCCTTACATTATATTTTGAAACCTGTTTCAGACAAAAATTGGTTGTATATAAACCCATTGTATAGTTTCACTAAATCTTATATTCTGTCAAGTTTTAATCGTTTAAGAAGATGTTATACAGATAAATAACTCATTTAAGCCTAAAAAACACCTATTTTCTTATCAGTATAGGCCATTGTTTTCATGGTCACTATTAGAGGATAAGTCAATAAGGCCTAAGTGAGAAATGACAATTCATTTTAAAATATGTCTATTTGTAATATTGTCATTGGATTATAAATGACAGAGGTCTACTTGTATTTGATTTTGAAGACATTGTGTGATATGTGTAAAAATTAACGTTTCATAATGATACACTCAAAAATAAAGGTTATTCAATGGGTTTATTGGAGCACATTTTCACTGTATAAGGTTCTTGGCTCGACTATGTCAGTGTTTCTCAGCTTGTGTGGATCGCGGAGTGTGTAGTCAAAAAAACAACAACAACAAAAATAATAATAATTCTAAATGTTTTTCTGATGCGAGACTTTTATTTTGAAAGACGTGGGTGAACGCAAATGAGAAGTTGTTGTCAGGCTTTGTCAGTGTCATTATATTCTAATATTATTTTACTTGTTACGAAATGAAAAGTCTCTCGCCTCATAAAAACGAACTCAACTGTTCTGTTAGACTTTGTGCTGTGCTCGAGACGCGCAAATGTTAAGAAAAAGTTTTCATAAGTAGCTTATCAGGCTGTAAATCATGTAAATTATGGCATCAGCCAGTAAAGCCCTTCTAACCTTTATTTTTAAGTGTTCACAGCTGTATGTTTAAAAACATGTATTTCTATGTGTTTTTCCCCTTAGTTATAATATGATATTGGTTGCAAATAGGCATTCTAATCATTCTGCTCAGACGTAAGATAATCTACAATGCTCAAAAGAATAATGAATCAGATCTTATGCAATCTGTAGCCTATTAAAATAGCATTAGGTGCTTTTTAAACTTTGGGGCATGCCATGTTATGAAGTGGTTTTCATATTATTGTCCACAAGGCTTCATTTCTTTTTCTCAGTATAATTTTGCACATTGAAGTGTGTGTGACTTTTTTTTTCCATGTCTTGAACAAGAATATAATGTTTGTACTGTAAATCATGTATTTTTTATACATTTCCCTGTTGACAAATGTTTTGATCTCATGTTGTCCGACTTTGTACAGTGTACTCTTCAAATAATGTGTCTCTCCGATCTTGACTAAATTCAAATTTGTGACAGCATTTTTAAAATGCTTTATAATCAGTTATTTCCCGTATTATACTGACCTTTAATGAGGAGTACACTTTCAAAACAGCTGTCAAGCCCACAGGAACATTAACCAAACTTGCCAGTTGCAGTTTTGAATGCCAGTTCATTCTTGGATCATTCTGATGTCCACATCACACACTGCCCATATTTGAGCACTGCTGTCTTTGTTCACCTGCTGCTCACAGATTTCTTTCTTTAGATCATTTACAAGTGTGTTTCATACCAAGAACAAATTATCTGACCGTTTGTGTGATATCTTTGATACTGTTGTTGTTGTATGTAATTGAACATGGATAAGAGGGCATTTATTTCAGTGCTTTTACAGGAAGTGCAAATGCAAGATGAATTGCAACCACTTGCATGGTTATTATGCGCCTACTTGTATACATTTACATTTAAAGTGTCAATCTGACTAACATGTTACAGTCTGTTTGACTAAAGATTGGCTTTAGGGTTATGTTTATCTTTTCCTTCCATTTCCCTTCTTTAAATGGTTTAAAATCATGCATTGAATAAATATGTAAAATGTTATTATTGCTGTTTCAATATATGCTTTTGGAGACACTGTTATTATTATTTAAAGTTTTGTTAAGTTCTTTTTTTTCATAATGACTTTCTTTTTTTAAGATAGGCTATCTAGCTTTTTGTTTATTTTTCAAAAAGACATCAGAACTGTATTATCCATGCAGTGAAATAAAGGAAATGGAATAATGCAAATGCACCGACTGAACTGTTCTGTTTGGGAAACAAATGCTGGTTTTAAAGAAACTACAAAAACAGAAAACAGATAGTTCACCAAAAAAAAAAAAAAAAAAATTTCATCATTTACTCACCCTTAAGTTGTCCCAAACCTGTATTGATTTCTTTCTTCTGCTGAGCACAAAAGAAGATATTTTGAGGAATATGCCTAACCAAACAGTTGATGGGCCCCAATGACTTCCATAGTATTTTTTCCCATGTGGAAGTCAATAGGGCCTATCAACTGATTGGTTACCAGCAAAAATCTTCAAAATATCTTCTTTTGTGTTCAGCAGAAGAAAGAGTAGGGGTGAGGGTGAGTAAATGAAAACAGTACTATTTTCATTTTTGGGTGAATTATCTCTTTAAGGGGGTCATATAATGGTACATGCACTTTTACAAGTTGATTGTACTGAAATGTGTGTTGCTGGCATGCTGTTGACAAAATAAGACACATTAAAAAGAGAAAGCCAAAGACAAAATTTGTCATGAAGAAAACAATGTTCCAAAAAAAAAAAAAAATTTGAAGATGCTTTTGATATATTCATAAAAAATTGCGAGAGAACATTAATCTCTTATGACAAGATAGCTGAAAGTTACAATGAAACGTTTCCCGTGTCGTGTGTAATGCTACACTGCCACCGCTAGATGTCAGTAGAATCAACAGTTCCGCATCAGCGCTCAGTCTCGTGAAGACAGTCCTGCTGCTGCTGCATCCTGTCAGCGCGCGACTCAGACTCAGACCGATCGCTCATATGAGGACAAGCAGCGTTTCTCAATTATACACAAACAAACAGCTGTGGAAACTCTATTACACCCTGACAGGTGGTAAGTAGTAATTCAACATTTGCCTGTCCGCTGCGTTTCATTTCGTTTAATATCAAATTGGCAGAAAATGTATGTCATATTTTATTCAATTTGTTCGTTTGTAAAGGTCTTTCAAGTTCATAGTCTTAAATGACAGTCTAATTGTTCCTTCATCTTACATCAAATCTGTCGCTAATGCCAGGTGTAGTATGATTAATTACATTTTGAATGAGCATATTCAGCTGCTCAGTTCAAAGAATTATCCTCCATTCATAGTCAGTAATGTTGTTGATGGTCTTTTTTTCATTGATGTCACATCATTATTGTCATGTGTTTTAAATGTTATATATTTACACAATTTATTATTTACGATATGAATTATATTTTCCCATGGACAATAGCAGTGTAAAAAAATACAGTTAATAGTTTTTTTTCATGCAATATTTACACAAAATTCAGTAAAACATTCAGTCTCATGCTTCTAAGTAACATTTTATTAAATAATCTTTTTAAGGAAACTGGTAGCACTTTATTTTACAGTCCTGTTCCGCATGTACATACTATGTACTTATTATTGCAATTACAATAACTGGGTTATAACTAGGCATTAACCCTGAACACACCCCTAAACTTATATTACCCAGTACTTTCTTAGGCAAGTACAAGTACACATACTGTAAAATAAAGGGTTACCCATTTTATTTGAAGGTGTCAGTGTTACAGTGTAATTATGCATTTGAGTACTGTGTAATAACAATTAACCACATGTACTTACTATAGGTTTAGGATTGGGGTTTGGTTTAGGGTTAGCCGCATGTAATTATGCATAATTTATAGTTATTACTACAGTAACTACATGTAATGTGTAACAAGGGCACTAAAATAAAGTGTTACCACGTAAAGTGTAACCAGGAAACATAATATAGTATTTATAATTATGTTTCCTTTTTTAAAATAATTGTATTAAATATAATTTAGAAGCATGAGACTTGAGTACTGTAGATTAAATTGGATGCCTTGTCTATTCTGTATTTTGTCTTCTGATTGCAGTGGCCAACCAGTGAACAAATTTAAAAGCCCAAAGGCCTCTCTATGGTTCCTAGTCACTCTCTGATCATGGGGAACGGTTCGATCAAAGCTCCTCGACTAGAGGAGACCTGCCTGTCCTCCGGTATAAAAGAAGCCCCTGTTTGGGAATCTGTGGAGCCCCTGAAGATGAGGATCGCCCATCTGGAGGAAGAGTTGGCACGGAGGGACCAGGAGTTCCGTGCACAGGAGAAGCGGTTACAGAGCCTTCAAAGGGAACTGGAGGCAAAGGTTTCCCAGATCGATAAGCTCCAGGATGCCATCGGGTATAACAGCCTCGGGCGCTCGCCGCCGGCACCACTGAGGCACAGCCGCAGACTCCTGAGTGTGATCAACCAGGGCTCCACACGCTTTCACAGAGTGGCTGTGGAGGTGCATCGACGCCTTAAAGCTAAGGAGGGCGTTTCAGCCGAACCTACATCGAGGCACTTCTGTCATGACCACAGGGTCCATCACATCTCCACTGAGAGACCTCACATCCGCAAAGACTCCAGGTGAGTGTGCGAACACTGACTGCACCACTGGATTGTTTGTTTCATTATGGAGTCACTGGAATACTGACTCCCCTAGAAAGGTGGATATAGGAGTAAGGTTTAGCCAAGCCTTTGTAGTGTCTCCAACCCCAGAGCGGGCTTGAAAGCCTTGATTTCCATAACACACTCTGAAGGGGATGGAGTGGCTAAAGAGAACACAAACTGTGGGCTATTTGTATGCATGGACAGGAATCATTACTGTTTTAATTAAACACGCTCTTGATGGCAGTCTACAAATCTCCTGCACTAATTCATTCATAAGATCCATTTGAGGTCAGTGGAGAGTTTCAGATGTGATAATGAGAATCAGCCATATAGTTCTGAAGACAATAAAGCATCTGAAACTGACATGTAAAATGTAGACGTTGTCCCCAAGTCAAGATTTTTCAGCTCTCCAAAAGAAAGAATGAAAAATGTATGCTTTGTTATGGAAGTACATTTATCCAAGAATTAAAATTCCCCAAATTAAGTCTATTTACACATTTATACATTATATATAATTCCAAACTCGTATACTGTTTTTTTTTTCAGTATAAGAGTATTCTAAGTATAAATACTTGCCCATATTTTAGATTTATGTACTGCATTTCAAGTCATGTGATGGCTTTGTGTGAGGAACAGACCAAAACTGAGTAAGAATTAATAAGAATAGGAATTGTTCTTATAATAATTAATACAAATAATTAGGTTTGTATTAATTAATTAACCTGAGGTTGATCATCTTCCCCTCCGCCTCATCGTGTAGTTTCGTTCAAAATTAAACATACGCTGCCATATAATATTTAGACATTCTTGCACCAGATTTGAATTTTTTACTTAAGTTGATTTCAGTTTAGTCTGTTCCTCACACAAGGGTTGAGAACACTTGAAATGTAAAGCATGTATCATAGCACTTTATACAATACAGATTGTTTCAAAGCAGCTTTATTGTGATAAACAGCAAAAAAACAATCAATGATGCAAACTTCATTAAATATGAGGCAAATTCTAATTCTGCTTTAAAGCAGCTCTAAAAAGACAATAGTGTCATTATTGAGCTGAATTCACTTCAGTGTTTATTCAGTTCAGTCCAATAACTGTAAAGTTCACCAATTATTAAATGAGTTCAATTCAGCTATAAGCAGCTCTACAGAAGACGAGTATCGTTATTCACTTTGAGTCAGTTCAGTGTTGATTCAATTTAGTTCAATAACAGTGTCGATGTTGTAAAATTCATAATTATGAAACAGTCAATCATGAATTTTGATAGATAGATAGATAGATAGATAGATAGATAGATAGATAGATAGATAGATAGATAGATAGATAGATAGATAGATAGATAGATAGATAGATGTAAACTCTTTTTGCTTCTTCTCCTGTAGCACTAAGAAACTGATCAATGAAGCCATCATGAACAATGACTTTCTGAAGAAGCTGGAGCCTCAGCACACTCGAGAGATGGTGGACTGCATGTACGAGAAAATCTACCCTGCTGAGCAGCTGGTTATTCAGGAAGGAGAGCCGGGGAACTACCTCTATGTGCTTGCTGGTAAACTCCAGATGTTTTTTTTACCTGCTTTTCATACTTTCGTATTTTTGAAATCAAAATATTTCACTGTACTCCACTGTTTTATATATTTTTTTCTCTGATTTGATTATCTGTGTTTAGAGGGTTTATTAGAGGTCATTCAAAATGGAAAGCTCCTGGGTCAGATGCGTCCTGGGACGGCCTTCGGAGAGTTGGCCATTCTCTATAACTGTAAAAGAACAGCCACAGTCAAAGGTGTGTGTGTTCCTGTTTTGGTGTATTTTTGTGTTTAAACTAATAGTTTACAGCAAGATAATAATAAAAAATTAGTATGAGTAAAAAAGTCATTTTTTTAAATTATGGACTGACCTATTCCTTTAAGGAGCATTAAGTAAAAAAATCTGTCATCTTTTATTATCATCAATTTTGTTTGTTTTTTGTGTGTTTTTTAACAATGAAAATAAATGTGGTCTAGTGTTGTTTAGGACCACAAAGTCTATGGACAAAAACAATTGAAGCTTTCTTCAAAATATCTTCTTTTGTGCTTTTAACAATCCTTTTAAGAATACTAATAAATCTGGCTAAATGTGAGTGTAGTTCATAATATTTAAAACATCAGAACATGGTTTAGATGTGCTCATGTTTGGATCTTTTAGAATATGTGCCTTGTAGACTGTTTGTGTGTATTGCAATGCTGCGGTGATACTGGTTGAAAAGCTGCTGTAGGTAATGATGTTAATAAAAAGTGCAATGTCAATGTAATAATTAAATCCTCATTTATTTATTTTTTCAGTGAAATGATTTTGCTTCCGTTACCTAAAAACTGATAGGTGCGTGCATTTTTAAAAAATAAAACATTTACGTTTTACTTAATACAAGTCCAAAGCATTACATTTGGATGCAGTCTGCAAAAAAATTGGGTTATATCAAACATGACCTTTTTTCTATTATTGTTGACCCACTTTTATTGTTAACATTGGATTTGTGTCATAGTTATAGATTTGTGAAGTGGAACTAATGGTGATTGCATTTCATTAGCTGTGACTCAGTCCCACATCTGGGCTCTGGACCGGCAGACGTTCCAGACTATCATGATGAGATCCACTCAGGCCAGACATGAGGAATACTTCAGCTTCCTGCGCAGGTACATTCATGCCACTAACATTTGTGCATATTTATCAGTTGTCAACTTCACACACACTAACAAACACACACTTCTCTGCTTGGCTGCTTCAACACGCATTCAGCACTTATTTAAATGCTTATTGTAGACCTAGTCACAAATGCGAATCAGTAGCCATGTTTCCATCCACTTGTCAATCGAATTATCCGAAGTTCGGTAAAAAACCTCATGCGAATAAAGCTGGTGAAAGTGTTTTTCCATCAAATGGCTTTAAAGCGGATAAAACCTGTGCGTAATGACGTCACATGCTGTTTTGCGATCAAATTGGTATATCGAATTGATTTGAGACATGTTAAAGTGTTTCCATTCATTTTCTCACCGAATTGCACAACATTCAAGCCAACATTTGCGAACAAAGTTTTACTAGGCAAAATGGATCGCACCATAATAACGTTTCCATCCGCGTTTATCGCATAAGCCGTATATCGATCAAGATCAAATCTGATGAGACCGATCTTATTTCATTTGAGTCGATATTCATGAAATTCAATCGAATTTGACTGTTTCCATAAGGCATTTTTCATTCGATATCACTTAATGCGGATACAAACGTGTGGATGGAAACATAGCTAGTGCATCATAAACTGATGTAAAAATGTAACTGTTAAAATAATGTTGGTTGGCGCAAGGGTTGAATGTGTTATAATGAAGAATTTCTTTCCTTATTTTTTTTGTGCACCTTTTGACATAATTTTTACGGATTCGATTGCATGCTGTTTACCTTTAATGCTGATTAAACATATTGTTACATTTTTTTTTAGTGTGTCTTTGTTGAAGGATCTACCAGAGGAGAAACTTGCCAAAATAATTGACTGTCTAGAAGTTGTAAGTTTTCAGCATTTTGTCTATAGCATTGTCATTTGTTGGTAATGCATATTTATTTCTGAAATGAAATAAAACCAAATCATATTCATGTTTCAATCTTTTTTAGGATTATTTTGACAAAGGAGAGTACATTATTCGTGAGGGCGAGGAAGGAAACACTTTCTTTATCATTGCTAAAGGAGAGGTATGCATTATTGCATTAAGTATTGATTTATATATAATCCATTAAATATTATTTTCTTTTTTATTTCATGGTTGTAGCATTGTGCAATCTTTCTGCTTTGCCAACATAAATATGTCTGTAGGAATCAGCAGACACACGGCCCATAGAAGCCCCAACTAGTGCTTAAATGGGAGTCTATGGCAGATACCTGTACCATTGATTGTAATGGAGCAAAGATTGATGTTAATTGAATAAGAGACTGGAGATTAATTATTTTGAGACCAACCCAGAAGCCATAATTCAATAATTATTATCCAATAATTTTGTGTGTTCTTTTCCAGGTGTCTGTAACACAGACTACAGAGGGCTTTTCAGAACCACAGGAGATTAAGACTCTTGGAGTGGGTGATTACTTTGGGGAAAAGGCTCTCATAAGGTTTGGAGAGGGTATCATTGTGAAGTGTTTTTAACAATATTGAACACATCCAACAATGACTCCTTTGTGACTATGGACTTCCTGTAGGCCAGGAAAAAGACTAATTACATATCTCTACAATGTCCACAGATTGTTCGCTAAGAGCTGTAAGAAACAGAGATTCTGTAGGAGTGGATGTGGGAGGAGGAATGTCAGTCATCTGAAAAGATGTTCATTCTCAATGTACCATTGTTGATGGGCTCACATAGGCTACTTAGACACAGGAGAGCCACTTGTCATATTCACTAATTTGTAATAATGATTTAGATTCATTTAAAGCTATGGAACAAGCAAATGTTTTTCTGGATGTTTTCAGTCACTGTTTATTTATATATACTGTATATATATATATATATATATATATATATATATATATATAATCTCCAAACCGGCACAACATCATTACATTTGTCTTATAATTCCATTTCAGTGAGGATGTCCGCTCGGCTAATATCATTGCAAAAGAAAATGACACACAGTGTTTGGTGGTGGATAGAGAGTAAGTGATGTTTCTTCCACACTAACAAGTAGGGTTGTCACCATATCATAATTTGATTATCACACATATCGTAAGTTGTCAATACCAATTTTGATACCACAGAAAAAAAAACTAATATGTTATTAAACATCCTGTGTTATTTAAAAAAAAATCTAATATAAATATCGTGTCATGTAGCCTTCAGGTATTTCTTAATTAGGCATATCTTGTTTCCGATTTTTCAAATAATTATCAAAGAAAGCAGTTTATTTTACGGTAATAAAATAAAAGAACAAAAACAAATAACTAGAAACATAACAAATAAAACAATAGAAGAGAGATACAAATTAAGTGAAAAATACAAATCAAATGTAATCAAATTAAAAATAATAAATATATAATAATACAAATGATAATAAAATGATTTTAAAAAGATGAAATTGTCATTGTTATAACTCTATTGGATACATGCCACTAATAAATTGGTGGTTGTCTGGTATAACCTAAAATTATAATTGTATAGCTTTTTACAGCTTTAAATTAGTCTTAATTATTAAGAATCATTGACAAACCTTTTTATTTTAATATAGACTACTGCTACATCCCTACTAACAACATACAATGAAAAGAAATGGGTATAGGATTTACTTTGAAACAATTTTCCCTCAGGAATTGAAAGTACATTTTGCAAATAATTACAAAGAAATGGGGGAAAAAAACAATTAAACTGTAATCTTTGTTTTATTTACAACTTTGAAAAAGACTTTTTTACAGCATACTATTATTCTACCTGTGACTAAAACAGTTACTATCACTGTCTCGGGATTTTTAAACAGTAACTTCAATCAGATGGTGGGAACCTACGACGAGCTGCAAGCCTATCTGAGGGAGTATGTGGAGCAGCTTTCTCTGAGTGATGAGATGAGGAATGCCATGTAAGAACACACCTAATGGAAACAGACACAGCTACTACTGTAAGCCTACTCCATTCCTGTATGTGACAGTCACAATCATTTCCCCACAGGCCTCAGTCGCCTCTTTACGAACGCTCTCCAGAGGCAGCAGAGTTCAGAAGGCTGAAGGAGAAGGCTGCTGGTTTGTCCAGTTACTCATTCATGAAAGAACTTCAAGTGGTGGCCACACTAGGGATGGGAGGCTTTGGACGAGTGGAGCTGGTTAGATTTCATTTATACAGCATACATATCACTCTGATGCATGAATATATCTAGTAAAAAGTTTTGCACCAATGGCATGATGTAAACAATGACACCAATGGCATACTTATTGCATGCATTTTGTGTCTTAGGTCAAGCTTAAAGATTCAGAAGATACTGCTTTTGCTTTAAAGTGTATTAAGAAGAAGCACATTGTGGACACCAGGCAGCAGGAGCACATTTATTCAGAAAAGGACATCCTCCAACAGACCCGTTCTAACTTTATTGTCAGGTCAGTCTAATGAGCATCTTTCCTGCCGCATACTGACATATTGTAATTGGAGAAGTGTAAACACACAGGAATAATGGTACAATTTAGATTCATATAATCCTCAAGAGTGATGAAGGTATCTGTACACAGATTGGGCTCAAGAACAAGACTTAAGTTCCCCCTGAAGGCCACTAAATTAATTAATTAGTTAATCAATATAATGGACTGAATGAATGGCTTGCTGCTAGACCGCAAGACCGGTGGGAGAAACCTATGTAAACAGACTGTTGTTTGCTGTTTGTTAATTAAGATCTGATGGATGAACTTGCACTTCGATTAGACTTGTTTATTAGATAATGTTGTGTCAATTATGATAAGACTTTCCGGTGTTTTGGAAGCTGGCAACTTTCAATTTATTTCAGTCACTGTCACTAGGGCTACAGACACTATTTATGGCTATCATAGCTGTACATAGAAAATGGTCTTGACTTTGATTATCTGTTCATACAGGGGTCAATGACATGATGCTATTTTTTTTGTCTGGATTTATTAATTTACTCAAAAATACATAAAACATGTAGTTCATCATACATACAATGACATAAACACACTATGATGTACAAATAGAATTTCTGAATAAAAATATTTTTATATAGTTTATATATGAATTCTAAAATGTCTAATTAAAAGGATGATTTTTTTTATAAAACCTTATTAAGTAGTTTGCCATTATAATTTAATATAATTTATTGATTACTATTGATTTCGTATTATTGATTATTATTCCTAAAAGCAATTAAGCAGTATTGTTCAAGTTGTATAAATATATATATTTTTAAAATTGTTTGCCAAATTTGATGTTTTTAACCCCCCCATAAAAAATATGCCTATGATGGTCACACCACATGACATTTTTAGAGCCATTAAAATAAACTTGTTAAAAATGGTATAAAAGCTATCATCACGTCAACTGGTACAATTCTAGAAACTTGGCACATGTGTTACTTTTAAACCAAAAGATTTGTCCTTTTCTTCATCTTTTTTTTTCACAAGATTGGAACCGCTGAGTGTCCTTAATGCATAATTAAATTTACATTCAATCTAATTATTTAAATCTACACATTACACCTGAAATATGTCGTTTAGCAGACACTTTTATCCAAAGCGACTGGAGGCCACAGTGGTGTCAGAGCTCAGTAACCTGCTCCATTCCTTCAAACAATGTGGTGGAGCGGACAGAGTCATACTGACACATTAGACATTTATCTTATATCTGTCACAGTGGTCTCAGTGCCATTGTGCTTTTCATCTGTGTCAGAAAAGGGGCTTCTACTTTGCATGTTTCTAGGAAACTCCTCAGGGAATTTCAAACCATGCTTATATTCCTGTCTGAGTGTGTGCTCTAGCTCATTTTATTGCCTCTCTGGCATTTGTGGACGAAAAGCACAGCTTTACATGCAAGTCTAGTTCTCTATGAAAGCTAGCAGTAAGAAATGCTAAAGAGACACTAATCGAGTGTGTCAGGCTGCCCTTGTGTGTTTCAGGTTGTTCCGGACTTTCCGGGATGATAAGTATGTTTACATGCTGCTTGAGGTTTGCTTGGGAGGAGAGCTGTGGAGCGTGCTAAGGGACATGTGAGTGTAGGTTGTTTTGACACTGTGCATATTGCATATATCACAGCCCACCGTCTTTGATAAACATTTATTTTGATCACATACACGGTTATTACTGACTTATCGCTGATTGAGTCATAGCTGCTAATAGATGTAGAATACGTAAGTCTCTTAATTTAGGACGTCATGATGTTTTGATTTCATTTAGGAGTTGCTTTGACGAGCACACTGCCCGTTTCTGTACTGGATGTGTGCTGGAAGCTTTTGATTACCTGCACAGCAGAGGCATCGTGTACCGAGACCTGAAGCCAGAGAATCTTCTTCTGGACGGGGAAGGCTATGTCAAAATGGTCATTGTACATACATCACTAAATACCATGGTGAAAGGTCCAAAAGTCTGAGGCCACATTAAAAAATAAAAATAAAAGCAAAAAATAAATAAAATGATGTAACATGAATAAGAATTATTTCAGATGATTTTTCACTATTTCAAGGCTTCAAAGCCAGTGATGGTGATGGTCTTATTATCGGGATATACGAGGGTCCGTCCGTGGCTCTACCGTTGGAGAAAGCATCACAGCTAACTTGGATCACGTGTGCCTTGATAACCAATCACATTGCAGCGTTGATGTCATTGAATTTCGCTCAGACTCAAGAGTTGTGCTTCAGTCAGTCACTGTTTGCGGATACCATAAAAATATATGATAAGTGTGTAAACTGAATCATACCTGTCGCGCAATTGTCTGTGACCTCTTATGAAACAGCTTTTTTTTTCAGTGTAAACTCTAAAAATGAATGAATCCAAAACGAATGTTTAAGAGCATGTTGAAGATTAGCCCATGGGCTGTCGATTCATAAAATAAGCCGTTTTCCCACAAAAGCAGTTTATTCAGCATGGTGAAGCCTCTCCTCCATTGACATCCAATTTAATATTTTCAATTAAAATTTTCACGCAGATGTGATCATATAATTTGTGATTATTTGTAATACAATAATTTTCACTAGTGGTCTCAGACTTTTGTTCCTCACTCTGTATGGGAGTCTGGAATATGTAGCGATGTCTCAGACTCACTGAGCATCCTTATTATCTACGCTGTTTTTTTTTTTTTTTTTTAGACCGATTTTGGCTTTGCCAAAAAGATCGGACTAGGTAAGAAGACTTGGACGTTCTGTGGCACTCCTGAGTATGTGGCTCCTGAGGTCATCATGAATAAGGGTCATGACTTTGGAGCTGACTGCTGGTCCATGGGCATCCTTATCTTTGAGCTCCTAATGGGCAGGTAATCGTGTGTGTTTCATATCATGTGTTTCATCCACCAAATGCTTCCACGGGACTGAGTTTGTAGGCTGACCCAAAAGTGGAAATATTGAAAAAAATGGAAACTTTTAAAGCAACTTCTGGTTCAACCAATGCTGGGACGGACAAACAATGGAAAGTGTTTGGTAGAAATAATCAGTTTCACAATTCTATTTGGTGCCACTAGTGGCGCAGAAAATTGCACATTTCACCTTTAAAGAGCACAGATTTCCCAGACCTTCAGAGAATCGGTTCTGTTGCTGAATTGGCACGGCCTTCCCTGTCCTCTGCCAATACTCTCTGCACCATGTTCAACATCCGTTTTATAAAGGGCAGGGCTCTCTTGACCAGAGCAAATGGTCCTCTAGTGAAATTAGCCGTTATGGCTTTCACTGTGTACTCTGTTGCCTCAAGCTTCAGTCAGCATCACCATGACAACAGAGTATTGGGGATGGGACTATGTAATATATGCAGTTGCAGTGTGATTAACCAGCTGGATGAAATCTTTATGATGTAATGCCACATGAAGTTTACATCTTCTCAAAGCTTACTGATGCATACTGTTAGCTGAGCTCATTTATTTACATTCTTGTGCACAGTTGCGTTATGCATTTTTGTGACATTAATCATGTATTGTTTAACTCAAATTCACAAAATGAAATACATTTTAGGCATCGTCTGCCTTATGGTTTAATTTGAGCAATTTAAGTGGCTTAAATTATGATAAATGACCTTTGATTGTGTTTGAAATATAACATCTCCCACACGACTGTCAGCCCTCCATTCACAGGCTCTGATCCGATCAGGATCTACACTATGGTTCTTCATGGGATAGAGAAGGTGGACATTCCCAAGAGGATCAGCAAGCGTCCAGAGGATCTCATACGGAGACTTTGCAAGTATGTTTCTCTCGTTCTGACACTTTTGTCAAACTCATCTCAAATACGCAGCAGTTCGCTGACCAGAGGTTTTGTAAACACATAATAGCACATTACTGTGCATTTCTTTTGAAACGTTTTGTCATGTATTTAAATGTATTTGTAATGATAAAGTTGCAAGATTACATTTAATATTATATTAACTTTAAATGTAATATCAAATATTATAATCAAGTTCTTTTGTATGTTAGTCAACGCATAAGTGTACTTCTTTAAAGCACAACAAATGATTATAAAAATATGATTTAAAATGTAAAGTAAAACATTTAATATGCCATTTTTACAAAGTGCACTTTTTAGAAGTGTATTTAAGTGTGTTAAGAAGAAATATGATCATAAAAAAGCACATTTAAGTGGCAAGTTATCTACAAGTATACAGTTTCTTAAAAATATACTTTGAAGATTTGAACTACACTACAAGTGCACATTCAGTACAATTAGGCACACATCTTTTTCATGCGAGTATTTATGAACCACATCCCTCTTTGTCCACCGATTTTAATAAATTATTTCTGAGCTTGTCACACTAGATTGCTAACTTGAAGCATACGTGCGATGCTGCCATAGAATTTGGCATAACATAGTCTTCTTGACTGGAGTGTGCTATTGATGCCTTTATATGCTGCCTATGTAGGGAGCTTACTAGATTTTGTAACAGAGCCTCTGTCATCATATCCTCCAGACATGCTATCACTTCAGATTTGATGATCTGTACAGATTGTAATCAAGAATAAAATAGGATTAGATGTTCACTGTGATTGCAGCATGTCCTGATTTTGCCAAGTTAGACAAGTTCCTGGGTCAACGTATTTTGTTGATCCTGGAACAACATTCCTGTCCGAAAATTTAATCCTAACCATATCCCTACCCCTAAACCCAAGCCTACCCATAACTTATCCCTAAATCAGAGGGAAATGGTAGGTAAACAACACTGATGTAGAAGCACCAAACCCTAACCCTAAACTTGACAAACTGTAAACTTGTTTCTCAAATCTGATTGGTTGATTAGAAGGTTTGTATCAGGATAAAAAAATATGTTGCACTTGGTGAAATCAGATTCTGCATGTGTCAATATCAATGTGTCACTGTCAATGTATGTTATATACAGTATATTTATTGTTGTGAATTTTTCTCTTGCTTGGCCTGTATGAGAACAGTCAGAAACTCACTCATCTTCCTCACTGTCTCCAGACTCAATCCAGCAGAACGGCTTGGGAATAAAAAGAATGGGATCATTGACATCAAGAAACACAAGTAGGTCAATTCACAAGTTCGCTTGATCATATAATCATGTGGAAAATATAGTTAAACAGGTTAGGTGTGCTGACCTTGGTTAAAGGACACTATACAAGTGAAGATTGGTTACAATTAAGTGTACTTATTTATTGAATAAATAGTGACTTTTTTTATTACTATTTATTCCTTAAATGTTTTATAATATTGATTTCATTAGGTTTAGTGTCATAACTCCGTCTCTGTAGCCAATGTTATGAATCCACCAATCCTGCCCATACATTTTTGTAACTTTAACTTTAACTTTATTATTAACTTCATTTGTCTCACTGTACACTGCAGGCCTTACACTCTCATATTCTCATGTAAGTGTTTCATTTTTCAGCATTAAAAGAACATTAGACCCACCCGGGAGTAGACTGAACCACTGATCCACGTGTCTGATCACGGGTAGTGCATTGTTGAGTCTGTTTTGCTGCTGGTCTGTTCGCTCTTTTGTATGTCACAGCACAATGGGTAGCTGAGCTAGCCTGCCAAATTAGCCTCAATGCATTCACAGGGGGAGCAATTAGTGACCAAAACGAGACGCACAGCTGTCGCCATCTTTCACAGAGCAGTGAAGCCGCAGACAGCAAGGTGAAGCGCTGGGCCCATCCTTTAACAGTCACACAAGTGATAGCGCCTAAAGTGCATGTGCACTGATGATGCTCACTGGACCAATAACAATCGACTGGGACTCACCACACTTATTATGTTACTAACTCTGTGTGTTTGTACTAAGAAGCTGTTGTTTTTATATTCATTATGCTTGAGTATTCTTATCACGCAGGGGTGATTCAGGTAACGTACACACAAAGAGCTCAACATCATTTGTATTATGTCACTAAATTATGTTCAGAGCATTATGCAAATGAAGGCGCATGCTCTTGATACAGGCATGAATATGCATGTGCAGGTAACAATGTGTCGTCAGACGAGTGAGATCTGAGATATAAAACCGTTCAAAAGTCAGATCATTCTTACAAATAAAAACCCCGCAAGGACACGTTAAATTGGTCGAAAGTGAAGACATTTATAATGTCTTAATACTGTTTTCAAGATTGATAATAAGAAATGTTTCTTGAGCAATAGATCAGCATAGAATGATTTGTGAAGGATCATGTGACACTGAAGACTGGAGTAATGATGCTGAAAATTCAGCTTTGCGTCACAGGAATAAATTACATTTTAAAATATAGTAAAATACTGATGTATTTACCGGTACTTTTAATCAAATCAATTCAGTCTTGGTGAGCTTCTTTCAAAAACATTAAAAAATCTTAGCGACCCCAAACTTTTGAACGGTAGTGTATCTTCAGAATTTTATGGTCATATTATGAGGAATCAAAAAATATACAGAATAACTTTCAGAACTCAAAACATCCTCCCCAGTCCAAAAAAAGACCATTAAACTGCAAACATGCAAAGAGGCTGTTATGGGGCAGTTAAAAACTATTGAAAAAGAGAGCATGTGAAGAGAGCCCTTACGAATGCATCTTAAAGGAACCATAGCAAAAATAAAAGTGCACATGGCCTGTTCAATTCTAAAGGTCAGTGAGAGTGTGGAAATGGGCATCAAAATTAAATTAATTTTGGAGCAGTAAAACATTTTCTAACAATAATAGTGGACCACGGGGGAAAGAAAAATAGTTCCCTTGAAACATTTTCTCACTACAAGGAAAGTGACAGATGAGGCTGAAGATGTGTGCAGATGCTGTTACTGTACTGTGGAGGTTTAGTTTGTTCCACTGTTTTCTCACAGGTGGTTTCAAGGCTTCAACTGGGAGGGACTCAGAAGGCAGAAGCTGACGTCTCCTCTGAGGAGAGAGGTGAAGCATCGCTCCAACAGATTTTAGGCTGTATCCCAAATCGCATATTCTCTTGAGTAGGTGCTTATTTTGATTAAGTAATTACTTTGCAAACTCTAAAAAGTAAGTTATACAGTATGAATGCGTGTAGTATGAATGTAATCCGGACGTACTGTATTCGCCATGTTGTCATTATCATGTCAGTTGTGTCGCTTCCCTGACATTCATAAATCCTCTCCCATGGCCTCGTGGGATAGTGAAGTGTCCATTGACTGCACACTTCAGAATCTCGCCGGAAATAGTAGGTCATCCAGGGACTTTTTGCCTACTCTTATAAGTACTGAGAATTCGGACACACTACTTCTGTCACATAATTTTTTTGCCTAATTTTTTTTTTGCAATTTAGGATGCAGCCAATGTTTTTACATATGTCTTGAGAAATGAAAGCCAGTTATCCTAAACTTGTGGTATTTTGCAGCTAAAAGGACCTCTGGATCACAGCCATTTCGACATGTTTCCCCCTGAGCTTGAGGAGCCTCCAGATGAATTCTCTGGCTGGGATAAAGACTTCTGAAAACACGCTGTTTCTATGAGCCTGTTCTGCAGAGCATCGCTGTGCTCTCATTTAACTATTTTCAGACCGCTTCACTGACCAGTTTGCCTTTATAAGTGAGCAAAGGCTCAAAGACGATCTAATATAAAGTGATGGTGGAGGGTGGACAGTGTCTGGACTGGAGAAGTCTCAGTATTACCTCGATGTGCTTTATGGAGCATTGTGCAATCTACTGACTTGTTCAGATGGACAAGATCTCATTTTACAAAGTGAAAGGTTATTGCAGTGATATCTCATTATATAGATAAATCACCGATGCCTAAAATCTGTCTATTTGTGACATTTACACTTCATTTTTTAAGACCTAATATGTCATTAAGTCACTGACAGGTCAGTCAGATGTGTTTGGATATGATTCATTTTGCAATCATTCAGCCGGAACTTTAAGTGCACAGCTAATATTTTAAGAAGCTGCTTTTATACTCACTCCTGACCATTTTATTTTTCTTTTTGGAATTGGATATGGCTTAAAACATGTTTTCAAGAGAAAAAATGGATGTAATAAATAACCATAATCATAGACTTTGTTTTTGGAAACCCAAATTCATCCGTTTATTTGAAAAAAGTTTTGATTATGAAACAGATTTATTTTGCTAATGTTGGATGTAAGCACAGCCACAATGACAACATGAAAAAAAAAGTTCAGACAATAAACAAAGGTGGGCCTTATATTTTAATAATATAGTTACTTTATACATTTTGATGAAAAAGTCCTTTCTTTAAATTCTAACTTTATAATACTAACAATATTTCATGTACAGATGTAAATAATTTATTTTCTGTTGTACTTATTGTGGTTTATCTAAATTAGTGTATTTCATTCTTTGGATCAGAGTCTAGATATTTCACTAATGAGAAAAACAACACTGTCATCTACTGGTAAAAATCTGCAAGCACAAGCAAGAGAGACTTCACCAATGTGTTTCTAAGTAATCAATGTTGATAAAGGTTGCGCAGATGGACACTAATGCATTCCCCTACACATGGTTTTGTGCATTTTATGCTGCTCTTCCACATGCAGGTGCTCAGACTTGCGCAGATTCTGTGGCATGTGCTTTTAAGAGAAGCTTCATTTTTTCTAACATAAGAGAGACTGGTAGGATAACAATAGTTGCATATTTCTTCATTCCGTGAATCACACAAAAATCTGACCAAGTCAAATATCATCGCAAAATAAAAAGAAATAAATTAATACATTTAAATTAAGCACATGTTCCCACCAAATTAGATTATTGTAATGCATCCACGTAGCCTAATGGTTACTTTTTTGTCTAATTCTTAAAAGATAAAAGCAAGAAAAGAAGCAGTAGCCTACACTTGCAAATGGCTCTAAATATAAAATAATGCTGTAAGGGGTGTACAGTCAAAGACCCAGAACCAGATATGAAGAATGAAGACCCGGAGTCAGAATTATAAAAAAATTAAAGAAAAGTTTTACTGAAGATAGTTTGCATTTTCATCAGCAGAAGTCAGCTTCAAGACTCACACAGGAGTTCGTAGGCCGCCCCGCTTACAGTTACAAAGATCACAGCAGTTATACCATTTCCAAGGTCTAAGCTACGTCATTGCTTACAGGTTGAATGATTCTCATTGGCTAAGAAACATGAAAGCCTAAACAATTTAACACATGTGAGGAGATAGGGGTGCCTATCGCCATTAGTAAAGATAGTTGTCGTCCACTCATTAGATTTAGGTCTGTGGTGGCCTCGCAGGTTAGAGAAGGGCGCCGGGGTGTCTGGTCCGACCGTCCAGAACCTACATAGAATGTCATACGCACACACACACAAATAACAGACACTAGCAAATAACAGCTCCCATCAAGGCTGAAGAGAGTCTGAGCTCCTTATTATCAGTTAAGTATACCAAAACATACTGCTAAAACATTCACTCATTTAAGAGAAAAACAGATCACTGGCATTTACTCCCAAGGAAGGAAATATACTGGAAAGAATACATTTTAATACAACAATTAAAGTTTGATAGTGACACTCAATATAGCTTGACCATATGTCCAGCGAAGAATCATATGTGCCCACGCTGCCTTTAGGACCCTCTAACCTTTCTACTGATCCCAGAGAAAGAGACAAACGGCCTTGTGGGTTACGTGGCCTTCGGGTCCTGCGTGTACTTCGTGCAATCTCAAAGTAAGATTGGAATGCACCTAAAAGAAACTGGTTACTTGCATCCATGCATTTAAGAAAATATAATTTCACAAGCACAAGAATATAAAAATTATTATGTGATAATGAATATATTTGATTATTGATTTTTATAAAGGAAGTATATAACCATTCAAAATGATATATGATTATATATGTATTTGAAGAGGCAAGGGATTTTGACCAACCCTTCAGTCCCCCGTTTTAGACCAATGTGGGGTCCAATACCGCCACGTCTGGTCTAACCAGTGAGGTCACTACGGAAGGGAGGAGTGGTGACGCATGCTCCCCTGATGGGTCACACTTGTCTCTTCACCTCGTCACGGACATGCTGGATACTAAAAATTCCAGTCCCCATTAAGAGGCTCTCCCACCTTCCACTCACAACAGGACATCAATGTCATTCTTCCTCAGTTTATCAGTCAGGTTAAAATTTTATAAAACACATAACTGATTACGAAACAAGTACATATTTTTTTCTTTGGAAGCCAGGCTAAATAAGCAAGCACTATTGCTGTATTCCTAGCATGGGCTAGATCCACAGTCACTACTCAGATCCTAAATAAAGACATTGTCTATAATCATGAGTACCAGAATATATGCACTAGTTTTTTTTTTATTTATAAAATTATGATTTCCAAATCCTTTTATTATAAACAAAGTTGGATGGTTAATCCATTATTTTCACTACCCCTTTTATAGACCCTTTAGGTTTAAAACACAATGGTTGTCTAACTAAAAATAAACAACAAACAATAAAATATTAATAATTAAGACCCATAATAATCGATGTAAGCACTTTAAGTCTTTACTGAAATCATCCTTCAGTTTACAGTCACATAGCATGTACCATTTTAATTGTATAACATCTTATACCCTTTTTTGTTTGTTTCAAAAATAGAAATAAAATAAAACAAATTCACATCATCATTTCAGTCATTATTTTACCACTAAAATATAGGATCGTTCCCCATTCTGCTTAATAAAGCTTTTGTTCATTCCTTATCCTTATATAACTTGAATCCCTGTCAATCATACAATGTCTAACCCTAACCTTTTTCATACCATTTAAACTTAATTTGACTTCCATAAATCCTATCAGAAATTGTATTTTCATAACATACATTTTTTTCTACTATATTTCTTCCATCTTGCCCTACATGCCAGTTCCTTCTGCATCCGAGTCTCTCACCACTGTCAGCCTAGTGACACTTAAAGTTCCCTCGTTAGGGGAAATCATGGTATTTTATTAATTCTTCAATACTCTTGTTTTCTTATCATTAGCTTCAACTTTGTTCATTTTAACTACTTCTCACAGTATTTGTCTCAGTTCCACTTATCTTTACAGTTTTACAGAAACCAAAATATTATGTTACTCAGATCCCAGCCAGCCATATAGCTGCTTTCTCTTTTTACCTTTATTAAATTGTAGTTTTCTTAGACATCTAATGTCATACATACATTTAATGGATTGAGAAATAAAACCTTTTCTTTTTAGAAGTTATATTCACTCCTTCTTTGTTCGCCCTCCGGCCTTTCAATAAAAATGAGGGAGCTCACTCTGGATAATTTGGATAGTGACTTAGCCAATGTGCCACTTTGTCTCTCTGCCGTCAAGTCTATATATATATTTTTTTTTTTCCCTACGTTTAACCTTATGATCCCACCTAGTTGTCTATTTAAATTTAGACCCTCAGTTGAATTTAGACAAGAGTTTTACCCCAGAATGGACGGCAATCTTCTTTACAATTCCAATTTATATAAAATACTAATCCAGAGAGTAATTCAGTTCAATATCATAAATGACAAAAGCATTCATAATTACCAATAGCAGACAGAGCTGGAAAACCACTCCAATTAAAGCTCGTCCCATGTTCTGCATTGTCTTTTCATCAGATTGACTTAGAATTATCAACTTTTCTAAAGTTGGTCATTTCACTTAACCCATCTGTAATGATAAAACACTAATTCCAGAGGTTAATGACACAATATCCTCAAAATCAGGAAATAATAGTACCCCAAACTAATACATACAAGACAAAAAGTGCTGTCACCATCACACGCACTCATACTAGACACGCATATGTTAACTGTTCATTTTCAATATTAATTTTTCTTTATGTTATTGCTAAAAAGATTTAAATTTTAAATAAGATTTTAAACTTCCCATTTTCCGGTAGCTTCTACCTAATTTTACATGGTCTCCCAACCAGTTTCAAAGCATGTCTTGTTCATTATTCATTAGAATTTAACAAGGTCAGCTGGGTTGTTTTGTTTCATTATCATTATTTTGCTTCAGCTTGCTCTAGCAGGCCAATAATGGAAAGACAGACACAGTTACCATCCCTTCCTCTGCTCAAGCAGTCTCTCTCACTATAAATAAATAATCTTTTTCAACAGCCTTCTAAGGCTGTAACTTAGACATAATGTAATATTAAATTAATTACAATAACCTTTGACCATTCACCTTGTTATCCAGACTTTTCTCAAATCTACAAAAGCTGTCTTCATCTTTAGCCACCACCATGTCTAACGACCTTCAGGAGTTAAAACTATGTCATAGACCTATTAGTTCAAAATCAACACTATGATTTTCCTTGCCCATAAGGCAAACCAGTACATAAAAAGTTTTGCTACTGTCTCCACAACAACTAATGGGAATCACTTCATGGCCTCAGCTGGTTCTTGAAAGCCCACTCCTGTTAGCCCTTTATCTATAATCTCCATCAGGGTGTTTTCCCCTGGCATATTTGCAGACGCTTGTCACAATAAAAAAACAAGCCATACAATGAATGCGGTTTCTGGTGATTGGTATTAGAGGAACACTCACGTTTCGGGGTCAGACTGTCTGTAACTCCTCACAGCGCATCCGCCCTAACGATAAAGGATGCTGCTGGCCTCACAGTCATCCGTTCCACTCTCATACCTTTCTCACATAAACACCTCCATCTTGAGATGCCCAGTGACTTTACGTGATCCACTCTGGCTTGGGTTGCCCCCTGTCTGGCCAATAGAAGGTCTTACCCGTCA